AATCAGCGGATTTCACAGAGCAGAATTAAGCTTCCCTTACGGGGGATCGTCGCGGGGGTGCAAAAATACCGGGAATCAGGCTGCATTGCGACGAGGAAAGCCATCCTGTATTGTTCCAACCGTTGGATGAACGTCTGTTCCAGTAGGCCCTTTCTATAGACACGGCTTCCCACCCCTCCTGGCTGGAAATTGATCTCCATCGTCGCGATCGTAATTTCGAAGGAGTTCAAGAGCTCCTCGAGGGCATTCAGCCGCGCCTGAGCGATAGCCCATTTCTCGTCCGAACTCAGTTGCTCCCGGATCTGGTATAAAAGGTCTATGATCTCACTCATAGCGAGAATGGCCTTATGGGAGGAATCCTGTGACTCCCGTCCACCACCGAGAGAACGCATGGCAGCTCGTACGGAATGAGCAGCTTGCGCGAGGCGGCAATTGACGGCGTGCACGTCAACCATGTTGGGAGACAGAGCGAGCGGCTGAGCGCAAGCCTCTCCGCTCGGGATTATTCTGAGTACATGTGGCATTGAGAGGAGAAACTCGAGTTGAGCATTGACTGGGAGAGAAACAAGAACAACTATCGCTAGATAAAAATTGGCTAGGATGAAATCCAGCTACTACTAGTATCTTCGTTAGCCGCCAGAAAGTGCTGAGCTCAGCGCCAAAGGAGGTGGTGAGTGGGTTTGCATGCCTAGTTAGCCTGCTAATTAGATTGGAGCGGGGAAGGGAACAACAGCCATCCAAGGAATCCAAGAATGTCCTGCTGCTCATGCTCACATGGCCGACCGCGAACATTGACGGCGTGGACCCTCCCGCATGGATCTGCCAGGAACTGAGGGGATGGGCGTCAACATTGCGGTATCCAGGCCATCCGCTGTTGGACAATGCATCTGAGCTGCATAGAAAGTAGGAGAGCGGTGGGTTCGTGGGCAAATGTGAGCGAAGATCCGTCCGGAGGAAGGGTACCTGGATTGCTACTACGGTGTGATGTAGAAGCAGGTTGGCTGCCTGTAAGCGCCGGGGCAGAGAAAGAGACGGAAGGCAAGACGCAACGAGGGGGTGGATAGCGCGTGATGGTTGGCCATGCTCTTTGGTGAGGCAAGCCAGTCTCCGGGCTGCATTAAGCGCCGGGCTGGGACAATCTCACGGCTCGTGCGCTAGTCGGCCACCTTTCCACCGTTGACTGGCTGTGTGATGGGCACCCCGCAGACACTTATCAGCCCGACACCTACTCAGCACACATGGCACCACCGGTTGTCTCATTGACCCTGAACTCCCATGGTTAGCTGTGGTATCTATCTGCTCGTTACTTTTTTTTTTTTTTTTTTTCTTTCCCCCCCCCGTGGGAAGTGCTGCTACGTGGAGTACATTGGTCCTATGTCTTGGAAAAGGTAATTTTATTCCCCGTACAACACATGTCGCATCTATGTTCAGTCTCGAGAGCAACCCATAGATAATGAAAGGTGAAATGTACATGATTAGGCCACAGTATAATCCGTAGCAAGAAAGTCGAGGTCCACACCTCTTGGTGCAAGACATATGCCAGAAATTGAAGAACCCAAGGAAAAGGTGATCATGAGAAAAAAGGAAATTCGTAAGACTCATCAATCTTCATACAAGCTGTAGCGATGCAGGATCGGAAGAGAAAAGAATAAGATGGGGTGAAATGAATGCAACAGACATGACATTATAACTCCAATGGTGGGTATCTTTGATACTAAACAGGACGGGCAACAGCACACTCAGCTACAGTCAGTCCACAAACCCCTTAGATAAAGTTGTTACTCGGATCAACACTTCCTTCGCGACCGCGCTTCAGAGCCTTTGCAAGCATGAGCTCTCTCATCCAGTCGATGCGCTCATCCCGGGTCTTGACAGCGAAATGATGGCTCTTTCCGGTATGTAGAAACAATGCCTTTTTATCCACTTGGCTGTTGCCAGCTCCAGTGGCGGGGATCAGAGAGAAAGAAAAGGCAGAGTCATTTTGAGTGCTGTTCTTGCGCTTCAGGACAGTTTTTTTGAAGGCAGCCGTGAGTTTGGAGCTTGACGCAAGCGACGAGCATGCAACAGCATAGTCGTCAACATCAATGTACTCCAGCGCTTTAGAGTGGCGCTGCGTTGGGGCCTCGTTAGAGTGCTTGGCAAGCTGAGTGCCCTTCAGGGTGTAAAGGTTTTCTTCCCATTCATGGCGTAGAAGGCGTGTTGTCTTCCGCTTCTTCATCCAGCCACTGTGGGTGACATCATTCGGGGACCGTCTGGTGGGCGAGTTGTAACCCATCCGAGGGGTTCTTGAGTACTCCTCGGGGGTTTCAATTGGCCTCAGTGTGGGTCGCTCATCGGAGGAAGTGTTGCGACGGTGAGTCCCAGGTTGCACTGACGCAGAGCGATGAATAGGATCGGCTAGAACAAGCCGATCTGATCCGAAGCGCATGTTTGGAGGGACGGACTGAGAGTCCTCTCGCGGCACGAGCCCGGCAGGAACGGCAGTCAGAGGAACATCCGTCTCGGAGTAAGGAGTACCTTGCGCATAATGAGGGTCACTGCGATAGAAGTCGGCAGGTGATTCAGAAGTATCATAGCCATAAGAGTCATAGCCCCTATGAATGGCAGTTGGATACTCTTGTGTGACAGTCCTTTGAGAGGACAGCTCTGGGGTGTAATCGGACAATCGGTCTTGCGTACCCGGAATCATCAGTTTCGGGAGATGACGAAGATTCTCGGAGAGAGTGGGGTTCGCCCTTGGAGATGTGCAAGGTTCTTCTGTCTCAAGAACCTCCTTCGGAGGAGTGACAGGATCGTTGACTGCTTGAATCTTGCGCAGGTGCTGGAAGCTCAAGAAGTTTCTCACGTTTTCTTGCGGGTCTCTGGGTTGCACCTCGTTGAGTTTCTCTTTGCACAGACTGGCAAGTCCGGGAGTGCGTAACGGCCCCATAACATCAGACGAAGCGATGAGAGAGGGAGTAATCTCCGATTTGGGTGATTTGATCAGGTTTGGCGCTGTCTTCGGGTTTCCAGGGTCGCCCGTCAGAACAATTCTGCCATTGACGTTACCGATAGGGAGATCCTGGGAGAGCTTTGAAAGCTTTTCTTGCTGTTTTTGCCACTTGCGGCAACTCTCCCCCTTTGAGCAGCTGTGTAATTTGGGCAAGACCTGCTCAATTGCGACAATTGAGACTGGGTTCTCAGTGTTCAGGTCCTCGGGTTTATGTGGAGCAGAACCGCCATGTTGACGACGGCGGCGATTCTCACTGAATCCCGCGGATTTGTAGCTGTCGGATCCTGAGCCTGACTGGCAATCGGAGGTTGACCCACTGCTGTGAGTGCGCGGGGTTGGCGGAACAGATGCATACTCTGAGGATCTGAAAGTTCCTACAGAGGCAGTTCTTGGAGGATCCCGAAGGGTTTTGATAGCATTCATGATGTTGTGACGCTTGCCAAAAGACTGGACACCCAGTTCCTTCAGGTCTTCATTCTGGAGTTCAAGAAGAATAGATCCAGAGATGTCATTCATATAGAAAGTCTCGACGACGCCCGTGTCAAACCCGCGGGCATGCAGCCACTTGACCACATCGTCAGGAGACCATTGTCGAATTTCGCCTTCAGTGGAGACTGTGCTCTGACTAGATACAGAGCGAGGTTGGTCATGAAGTTGAAGTTGTTGGGGCCGGTGTCGCTCCCGGGATTGAACCGAAGACTGGGTTGGGGCTGGGGATTGAAACAAAGGTTGTGGTTGTAGTTGAGGCTGTGGTGTGGATGTAGCACGATTCGGAACAGGAGTATCTCTTCTAACAGGATCGAGCTTGGAAGCGGACTGGTAGAAAGGTGCCATGGCACTTGGAGGCCGACTTTCCCAGCCCATTTCAGTCTCTCCGTAGTTACTGTAGAAGTCTGAGAGATCCGCAGACGGTCGAAACAGATGAGGACCGTTTGGGCCCCTGACGGCCTTTTCATCGATGTGAAAATCAAACGCCGTCAGCCCAGTGGAGTCAGGTGTGGTCGCCTCATTTGGGGTAGAAGCAGAGGAGATACTTCCAGTCCCGAACTGTATGGTAGCGTCAGTGATTAGTGTGCCATCGGAGAGGCGCCCGACAGATTTGCAGACTTACCGAGGCGACGCTTGTGAAGGGAGAATCATCAAGGTAACTCAGATCATCATCGTTATCGTCATCGTCATCACCATGATCTGATTCCTCCATGATCGTCTCTTGGGAGAGGGGTCGGCCAAAGGAAGCTCTGGCGGCATAGTATGAAGCCGCTTCGCTTTTCCGCAAGCCAGGTAGGCTGCCATCGTAGGCTAATTGGGTTGACTGACTTCTGGTCAGCCGAGTCACTTCAAGTGGAGGCAGGCCACAGGGATCTTTACCATTGTCTCGCGTATGTCTGGTGCCCCAAGGGCCGTGATAAAGAGGGGAATATGCAGAAACCAACTAGGCTAGTCGATCTAGCTGTTAATTTGTTGATGGATAACAGTATGTTGGTTGGGGAAAGGGTGTGGGATGTGATATCTAGTAAACGGGTTAACACTGGAGACTGGAGGCAGTTGAGCGGTAGCGTCGCTGAGAACGGCCGGATCGGGTCAAGGAAGAGTTTATGTACAACGGTCGCCCAAGAGTTTGCGGTCACTTTGCACAGAATTTCTGTGCCGGCGGCAAATACGCAGGGCCGTCACCCGTGGGCTGGATCGAGCGAATTGGATGAGGAGGGGAGGAAGCGACCCAGGAGGATTTGGGCCAGCGGCAGCATAGGCCTGGGTTGCCGCTGTGATGAGAACGATGGTTGGCACGTCCAAGTCGCCCTAGACCGACGGTCAGACTGTCAAAAAGGCGGAGAAAAACGAGAGTGGACGGCGATCGCAGTGACTTCCTTGGATACCAGAGGTCGACATGCAGCCGGGTGGGCGTCGGCGGGTGACGGCGCCCCGTGAGAGGTCGGTTTGTCGGCGCTACTGCTGTGACGACTCTTGCAGCAACACACCACAGGCTCTGATTGCTTCGCAACATGTACGCGCCCAGGAGCTTGCAGGTTTCACCATCTCCTTAGTGCCATTTTGAATTCCCTCCATTCCCAGCCCCGCCCTCCGATGCGATGGTATCATTTGCTCTGACACCTAGGATACCAGCACTCGGCGAACCGCCAGCTCGTTACAGAGTTCTCCAAACGAGCGCTGAATGCCACACACTTGGAGCCGGCCTCGTCATCGCCTATCAGAATCGGCTCCTGTTCCAAACCTCGTGGTCTCGTGGCCAGGAACGCCTGAGGCCGATCCACGTTCTCAGCTTGAGTCCAACATCGGCGCCAGTACGCCCAATGGATATGGCAGTATAGCCGTCGAACCTGAAGATCATGTTAAAGCAATGGCAGTCAACTGTCCTAAGGAGACTGGAGGAGGCAATCCCTGTACTGATAGCTCTAAGTCCCATGGAGGACGTCTGGATGTCCAGTGGTTGCCGCCGACATGGAATGGTGATGGCAGGCAGCTTGTCTTTTACTCCAGTGGGCTTATCGATGTATGGAAACTGCGTATCCAAGGATATTTGATACTGGGCAAGTAATTTCTTCTGACTTGTGCCAGAGAATCGTGGAAGGGTTTCGGGTGTTCGCTATAAGGGCTCCGAGAACCAGGCGCATGGCAACCATTATATCGCAAGCTGGTATAACAGTTCAAGACTGAGTGTCGCTATGCGGGAGGGTGGAAGATCCTTCCAACCTGCTCCATCAGCCCATATCACAATCTCATCACACCGTTCCTTGGGTGCCCCACCGGAACGAAAGATACCCGAGAGGTGATCGTCCAGTTTCATGTGTCAACTCAGGCACATTTACATTGTTTATGAAGGGTTGCCATCGCTGTCTCTATTGTAAAGCGATATCTATTAATACAACTTTTACCTGATGGGCTTCTACCCGCAATCCCCAGCGGATCAACATCTACTCTAGAGATAATCTGAGAGATGCTATATGATGATGGAAGCTCTAGTAGCGAACGGCCCGTTGTGGAGTTGTCCGCTCCTCCCGTGATTTTTTTTTTCTGTAATTGCTTGGTTCATGATTTACGCTGCTGATTAACGCTCTGGGCACATACATAACTCAGGGCAATTAGTAGGATGCCAATACTATGGTTGTTCATCCTGGCTTTATGCACAAGTGTGATCGCTGTGCCCGCTGTGCTCGTTGCCCCCATTGCCTATGTTTTGTCGCCGTCTTGCTTGAAGGCGGCAACCGTCAGCAGCAGAGACGGCCCGGTCCATGGGAGGAGCTGCAGGTCTTATGACGAACGACTACTAGCCACAATGTAGTTGATCTAATGTTGTATGCTCAGTCGGATACTGTATGTTAGCTTCTTTCAAAAGACTGCTAAGGTCTTGCTCGCCGCACACCCGGCTTACCTTACTCTAACCCAATTCCCCTCACTCTTCCACACTCTCCTCCTTGTAGTAGACACCAACGCAGTTCAGAATGCTTTCTCTTCCCTGCTGGTCTTGTGTTTGCATTCCCTTTGTTCTATTTTTGATCATGATCTTGGTCCAGCTAGATCGTATCATCAGATCGAATATAGATTGACATAAAAATAGAACATGTGTTTTCTTCTGGAGCATGTCAAGCAGCAATGAGTCCCGAAACTACCGATGATTTCTTAGATATGCATTAGTGGGGATAGATTTTGATCAGCGCAGCTTGAGAACGTGGAAAATCGCAGTGTCTATCCGACCCCGAGTGATAATAATAGTCAATTTACCCTTGTTCGCATGGTCTGTGTGTGCGACCATTGAACGATAATCGCAACTAATGCATACTGTTTACGAAATTAACGACAGAGTAACTCGATTCGGCTAGGTTCGCGGATAAATAGATTGATAAAGCGTTATTTAGGTGGAGCTTAGTGCAGCCCTGTTATCTAGAGTTGAAGCTATGGCAGCCAATAAGATGTAATGCCGGGCGGCGATTCCAGGGCCAGTTGCTAATTATGACCTCTCCTTGCAGTTTATTAATAGGAACAAACCGGGGTAATGGTAGAAGTGGAATCGCTGGATTTGTAGACTCCGGAGCACCCAATGAATGCTGGCCGAACCTATACCGAAGCGCTCAAGATACGGCCGGGCGCGTATGGGAGAAGTCCGGGCGGTTACGGGTTGCTAATTAAGGGATCTTCTTCGAAAAAAGAGAGTTGCGTCGTGCCTCCGGGGCTCCGAGCGTCATTTGCATTCCTTTCTTTTTCCTTTCTTCCTTTCCCCCCACCTTTGCACGGGCCGAGTCCCACTTACTCCGCTGCATGGCAACCAGCACCAACCCCGTTGCACCGGTGGGTTAACTACTGGCTTTGACCAAATCAAAAACTAATCCTGGAAGCTTGGCACGTCTCATTTGACGCCCGTTGGGGACGGGTAGCCAATAACACACATTGAATATCCTTCCCAAATGCTGTGACAGAGATCTATTGGGTCACGATTTACCTGAGGGGAGAAATCGGTATCGCCCATGCGTGGTGCGTCGCTAAACATCTCGTTCTCACCTCACCCTTTTTACTGTTGATGTGAATGTCTCCCGCATACAAGGAAAAAACCACGCATCTCCATGATCACTTGTAGCCATAGCATACAGACCATCTAGATTGTGATAGATGTCCTTGCGACCACAATGGTGTGATAGCAATAACCTGTAACGCTATTCATCTACTCCGCAAGTGTTGGTGTTTTTGGAACTATTGATTGACCAAAGCCAACAGGAACATTCGCTCAACCAACCCGGCGCCATCTCTACGCGCCGACCTCACGTTCGCGCTAAGGACGAACCAAGAGGACCCTGACAAGAACCTATGAGACCGAGGAAGTTCCCTGCAGCCGTCAGAGCTGCGCGTCTAACAGCGCGGGCGTCTCGACCTCCCACGCTCTCTGTCAACCAACATTCCTTCCTTTACTACAGTTCCCGATTTAGCAGCGCCGCGTTTCTATTCACGATCTTCGAGTCTATGATGATTTGCTCTTCGAAATCGGACCCCACAAGGCGTGCATATCAGACCTGTTTTCTAACAATATCCCTTGTCCATCAACCGCTGGGGTTGGCAAAAAATAGCAACTATCAGACTATGCGTATGCTGGCGCAGGTAAACCGCATACTTTATCATATCTACTATCCTGACCAGAATGGCTTCATAAAGAGCAGCTCGATTCCACTCGAAATCTGTCTTCCATCCTCTCAAGGACTCAAGAGTTGAGACCCATCCAGAGGATATCAAAGCATCAATCCAGCTTCACACTTTTGTTCTTCGTCTTGTTTCACTTCTTCTTTCGCACTGCTATCTTTTTATATACTACATTCCAAAAAAATCTTATATCAGATATCGCGTTTCGCACCCCACTTTTCCACCGCACTTCAACCATTGCCTCCGTCCTGCGAACTTCTGGAAAATGTCTTCTCCAATGGCATCTCCTTCCAGCCTGCCTGTCTTGGACGACCCCATCATCTCGGATAGGGACAGTCCGGAAGTCACTGCTAGTCCGGCAGCTGCGGATAATACGGAGGTCACTGGCAGTTCAGAGGCGCCACAGGCTTCTGACAAGCCAAGCGGATCCTCCAACGGCAAGTCCAGACAGAGGTCTCGCTCAGGTATAACTTCCCCCACCACAGCAGGGCTCAGTTGTCACTAAAGAGACAGGGCTACCTCAGGCTTAGCTCTTGATCTGGTTGCTAATCATGTCATATCCAGGCTGCTTCACCTGTCGGGTGAGGAGAAAGAAGTGCGACGAGTTTCGTCCAAACTGCGCCGCATGCACCAAGCTTGGGCTGAGGTGTGAATACCGGACTCCTCAGTGGTGGGCGACGGTGGAGATGCGCAAGAGGCAGAAGGAGAGGATAAAGCAGAGAATAAGGCAGACCAAGATCATGGAGAAGGAGGGTGGTCTCCAAGGTAAGTACTCCGCGCATTACAAATGCCTAATATGGTGTCCAACCTAGTATCACGTACAGAGTACCGGGATCGGATTTCAGCACTCGCACGGCGCCCTCCTGTTAATGCGCCCCCTCGCACCCCCCGCCCCGCGTTCGCAGAGCTCCCCAGAGCTGTCAGCCAGTCTCTCCCGACGCCCGTCAGCCCCGGTGATGACCAGTTGAAGTCCCAGCAGGATGCCGTGCTTCAGAGTATGGGTCTGGGTTCGTCCCCGACCTTGCCTCAAGGCACTTCGTCCGTTCCGGTCAACACGTTCACATTACCCATCCTGGGATCTTCCTCACACACTTCAGCACTTCCTCCCACTCCGACGTCGGCCCTCTCGACTTCGTCTTTCCCTCAGTCCCCGGCTTACCCCCACGCTTGGTCCATGATGTCGAGTCCAGCTATGCCGACGTCTGCGTCTTCCGGTCTTTCGCATCTGCCTCCCTCAACGCCTCTCCTCTCCAGCACTGAGTGGAGTCAGCCAAGTCTCAGTCCAGTTCAGTCAAGTGCGCAGCAGTCCTTCAACCCTGTGGACGGTGGTGCTCCACTGTTCGGAGGTGCCCAGAAGCCTCCTCTGTCAGAGACCTTGCGCAGCTTGATCTCGGTAGGAGACCGTGCCCTTCCACTTCTCGACCACTTCGCCGACCATGTTGTGCATCTCGTTTTCCCCATCCTCGAAGTGAGACCCGGTCCTGCTTTGCATACCAAGGAAATTCTCGACTTGATGCAGACTAATAAGTCCTATCTCCACTGCTGCCTGAGTGCATCTGCGATTCACCTGAAGAACAGTCTCCGCCTCAACGACCAAATGGATCATGACATCATGGAGCATCGTTTCACCGCAATCAACTATCTCACTGAGATGTTGGATAACAGCACCGGCCACTCACAGGTAATGGACGCGACACTCGGTCTGATCTACTATCACTCGTCGGTTGCCACCACGGAAGACTACTTGTCCGACATCCCTTGGAGCTACCACTTCCAGGGTGTCTCGAACCTCATCAAGAAGCTCAACTGCGCACCCAGTCCCATGAATATCACACTCATCGCTTGGGTAGATATCCTTGGAGCTACAATGATTGGTAAAACGCCCCAGTTTTCCCACACTTATCGCCAGAAGCACACGTGCGGCATAAGCTCTGGGCTGCAGCATATGATGGGCTGTGATGATCGCCTCATGTACCTGATCTCGGAGATTGCGTGTCTCGAGTCCCTGTGGAACAGTGGAATCATTGATGAGCAGTCACTATTCCAGCATGTTTCGGCCATGAATGACCAGATCAACTGGACAGAGGCCACTGAGTCCCCAATTGGGGCACTTTACGATGTTAGCGGGGCCATCCAGTCAGAAGAGTTGGCCAAGCTTGTGACAGCCATCTTCCGTATCGCTGTTCGCCTTTATCTGCACAGCCTCCTTCCCAATTTCGACAGCTACGACGCTACAGTCTTGAGCTGGGTTGCAGCTATGGGTGATCTTCTGCAGACTATTCCAGCGGGGCCTAGTGGCTTTGATCGATGCCTGGCCTGGCCTTTGTTCATCGCGGGTCTGTACTCCGCTCCTCCCAGTCTCTTCCGGAAGACCCTGGCAGAGAGAGTTGCAGCACTGCGGTTCCTAGGCGACTTTGGGAGTATTGGTCGGATGTATCAAGTCCTGAAGGAGGTCTGGAGGCTTTCAGACGAGACTGGTCGTATTCCTGGAAGCGGTACCAGGCCTCCCAAGAAGCCGACCAACCCCACTCTCAATGATACCGCCACTCATCCATCACAGCTGATGCAGCGGGTGCAGGAAGTCGAGGAAGGCGGGGATCTTGGAGAGCAGGAAGCCGACGAGCTGGAGCAACAGGAAGTGGAGGAGCCCCAGCAGGAGTCTAAGTATATCCACTGGCGAGAGGTCATGCGGAGTAGGAAGTGGGAATATCTACTGCTCTAGCGGATTTCCCCTT